GTAAAGCAACAAAAAAATTGTCTAGCACATAAGCCCCAAATTTTCATTTTTTTCCTCTTTAGTTTTTGTACGGATTAAACAAGCGAGGTATAACGGGTTAATTAATGAGCTTTACAGGTGCTGGTTGATCAAGCCAACACTGGAACTTAATTTAAAATTCCAAGGTATAGATCCTAAAAGTTAGGGAAACATGTATACAGCAACCCTACTAATATTTCTACTGTTTACAGTGTGCAGAGTCAGAAAACTGAAGAAAAATAAGACATACATTCCGAACTTTAAGGGGCTAACTGTGTTGAAAAATAGCGCACATTGGCAGAGTCTTAACGCAGCCTACAAAACCAAAAAATCAGCATTTCACTTCAGTTTGTGCGGTAAAAACTGTGATATAACATGTACTGATGGAGCAACATTCACAGAGACAACTGCATGAATTCACTGATGCCCCAAACCCACAGATCTGATTTACGAGTTTTGTAGCTGGAACTTGGATTTCCACAGAGAGGAAATAAAGCAAGCAGACGGTAAGTCTGCCTTGACTGTTATAGGGCCTCTGCTCTCCAAGCTTCACTGAGACACAATAAGGATGGAGCCATAAAACATGAGGTCCAACAGATGCGCAGTGAAGACAACCACAGTCCATTATACAGCCTGTTAAAAACACTCAGGCAGTTCGCTAACCCACTGTCACCTCAGCCCCTGCACTCTTCATTGGGTTTTGTTTGCTGGTGCGGATGAGGACAGAGTTATGGCTCAGAATGACTTCCTCTGAGTGAAGCTCTGCCACAGCTCACAATGCTTCTCAATGAAAAGGGAACGCCTGCCTCCATCAACGCAGATGTTATTTGTTCTCTGACAGATGTATCCATCGTTATGTTTTTCTTTTTCCCCTCTTCCTTTCTGAACAGTTTTGCTTTATGAGCCCTTGTTTGATTTTCTGAAAGAAGAGGGTCTGGCAAAGGATTTACAAGTGCACAGAAGCAGGTTTAGGAGTACGACCTAAGCATATGGCCTTGTCAGATGCTGAATTTTATGTTTGCTTCGAGGGAAGGGACAAGGAAGCAGGTTTACAATGTCACGGCTTGTGAACAACTGCGGCAGAGTGACTTTGAAACTTGCCTTATATTTTGTCTGTTGTCATCACAGGTGATTTTAATGTCATTTGGAGCTTGATTGGAGACATCTGTGTTAACATCGTCACTGCAGATCTAGGATGTGGCAGAGGCAGAGTTCGGCATTGACGGTGTGACAAATTACAAAACAGGAGATGCAGAAGCTCTCATTGTCCACCTCTCAGCTGCATAATTAAACATGGGTGTAAAATTTTACTTGGGCGATAATCAAAGCCCCGAATGTTAGTCTTTAACTGTGCTGTAGGTCCACCACCCAGGTTACAAGGTAAACATCCAACAACAACAATTTTCTTTCCAAGACATCAAAACACACTGCTGAGTGAGGATATTGGGATTCATTAGTGAAATCAATACTGGCTAAAGAGGGCTCTCTTTATCAGAACTCCTTTAGATTAAGAGTCAAAAAAGTCCAAAACAGGGTAGTCTGTGATAGATAGACCTCACTGCATGTGTCACTGCAAGTTTTTAAATGTCAGTACACCATATATATTATGCCAGAATAAACAGCAGGGTACCATTACTATACTGTCTGTTAAGGAATGAATAACTCTAATCTATCCCTGTGCCAAATGTTTAATATTTATTTAAATATAATTTTTTCACATTCCAATTCTAATGTCTGAATATTATTAAGAATTAGAGGTTCATTGCTCTTTAAGAGGATGTACTTGCATTATTATTTTTTACATTATATCATTGACATGAAATAGTGTTAAAATGACCTTCTGAGTGGTAAAGTTGAAGATTGTCTGTATTTGACGATTTGAGAATGAAGGAAGAGGCTGTAAGGGTTATAGGAGAAATTACAAGGACCACGAAACTTGCAAAAAACACAAAAGGCCCTATCTACAGCCTTGAGCTATAGGTTTTGTCTATCACTCGGCTAAAACTTGTGAAAGAAACATAAGCAGAGTATAAAACAGTATGCAGCATCTTGTCAGATAAAAGTAAAAATCTCATTTTAATGTTAACAAAAACACAAAATTTACTATATTCACCCAGGTGATTTAACATCTCAAATATTTAACAACAAATACTCGAATTTCTGCCAGTAGATCCTCCTAAACACTGGACTTTTAAGGAATAGTTTAACATTTTGGGAAACATGCTTATTCACTTTCTTGCTGAGAGATAAAAGAGATGATCAATCACTGTCATATCTATCTGTTAAATATGAAGCTGGAGCCAGTCTAGCATAAACACTGGAAGCACATATGTTATTCTTTAAATCCATACAAATTTAAGATGTTGTGAAGTCTATGCTACAAAAAAACTAACTCTTATAAAATAACTCCTACCCTTATAAATGTAGTCATATAATCCTGGGATAATCCTGAATTAATCCTTATGCTTATCTAAAACTAATCCAAAGTCTTATTTTTAACTTAAAGCCAGTTGCTTATCCTAAATTGGTCCATTAAAAGTGCAGAGTAGCAAAATGCCCCCTCAATTTTGAGTGTTTTTTTTTTTATATCTTTCTATCCTGAGAGGATTTGAGCACACACAAACAAACTGTCGACTATCTCGTGACACATCAGTCTCTCCTCAAACAAACCCACTCTGAACAATTCCTCTCGCTCTCTTACTTTCCCCCCCCACAGAGTTTTGGCATTGGCTTTGTTGTAATGAGAGACAAATGTGTTTAGAATTCTGCATGAGAAAGCATTTAAGGACGAGTGGGCAAAAGTCTATTTTTCCATTTAAAGTTTAGTCTTCCAGAGGAATTACACTGGAATGAGGTATTGAGACAGAATGTGCTGACTGTGTAAATGTGGCCAAACCACAGATTGAAGCCCTGCTCAAAACAGACAGATCCTATTATTACACAGAGGGAGAAGGGGGTTTTCTGATAATACTGAAGCGGTTTCTCTGTGTAATACAATCATTCTCTAATCATTTGTGCTTAAAATGTAATGTGCAGCATATAGCATCTCCGCACGCCACACAAAAAAATCTAATTATATTGTCAATAAGAAACAAATTATTTCACAATGAAACATGCTTAATAGATTTTCTACACTTTAACGTTTTAGATGGGCTATCCACCACTTTGCTCCAGACTGAAATCAACAGCTCAACAGCTACTAGATGGATTGCTTTGACTGCAGACACTCATTATGGCTGGAGGATGAATCCTGACTTTTGTGATCCCCTGACTGTTCAACCAGCAGCACCATAAGGTTGACATTTTTATTTTTCAGTGAAATATCTCATGAACTCATTGCCATGGAATTTGGTGCATATACTCATGGTGCCCCAAGGATTAATCTTAGTATCTTTGGTGAACCCCAGACTTTTCATCTGGCACCATTATAAGATCATTTTTTAATTTGTCCAGCGTTTTGGTTATGACCAAATGCAAAACTAATGACAAATAACTCATATTTGTAAATAAACTATTAATAATTTGTGCTGTGTGCCAAAATGTTAGTGTGCCAACATGCTAAACTAAGATGTTAACCATGATAAATTTAATACCTGCTAAACAGCATGTTAATGTTATCATTGTAGGTATATTAGCATGATGATGTAAGCATTTTGCTCAAGATACGACCAATGTAATGTAATTTAACCTTTCAAATGCAAAGCTACTTTTCAGTTTAATTAAACCAAGAATAACATTTTCAGAATCTTTGTTCATTGAAGGCAAAAGGATTGATCATTTTGGGAAGTTTGGCTGACTGGCTGCTATAGATTTTTTTTACCTTTTCAGTCTCTCTCTGGAAGTCAGTCTGATGTTAGTCAGAAGATTGTGGTTGTTTGAAGCTGTCCACTGAAGTCATTACTGACCCTGGCTATCTATACTTTAATGGAGAGGCTTTTGTACCAAAGACCAGCAAATAGCCCACGTTTGGCTAGATTTCAGGATGATTTAGCTCTGCCTCTGTAAAAGGTTTGCATAAAATGGCTTATCACACCTCAGTTACATAACAAGTCAACATTCAGTGCAGGTCTGAGCTACTTTATTATTACAGTGCATCACAGTAATTTTCTTCCCACTGTATAATTGTGCTATTGCAGTGATACAGGTTAATGGTTGATACTTTGCGACTATCTCAAAGAGCTCTATGTAATATGATATGTTCTTGTTGTATGCAACCACTGAGATGAAATATCATATCATTTTGCATTCATGCAATGATCCATAGCATTCTTGCTTCACTCTCCTTCAATATAATTTTCAATATCTGATACACTTAACTGCTTACAGAGTAGAATAGAGGTCCAAGTACCACAAAATAGTTTGGATGTGAAAATGTCATTAATTTAACTACACTAAAAAGCCTGTTTGCAACTTATGTTTAGTGTTAAGCATGCATGTTACTTCAGACATGATTCTCATAAAGCAAGATTCAGTTCATTCATTATGCAATTTATCTCATCTACATTCTGAATACAAGTTATCAGTAAAAGAAAAGGGGCATTCGTACATGCTGAATGGTTTGCATTTTAAATAGGGATATTAGGAAATTATGATGATCACTAACCACAAATCTGTTTTTTATTTTTCAAGTGGTTGGATATGCCCAAGACACAGTTCCACTATAATGTATATGAAAAAAACACTTTCGGTATACACATGACATATGGTTGATAATGTGGAACTTCCAGAGAACTGAGAATCCCACACTGAGTCTTGATCTTCCTATAAATGTACTTGTGTATTCTTTTAAATGCAGACAGTTTGACATTGCTATCTGGTACGTCTCCTTACTGGCAGCAGGAACCAAACAGCTGAATATAAAACTGTCACATGTGAATGACAGTTTAAATATGGTAAATTGAAACTTTATATTTCCCCCGACTGGCTGCATTGACCTGTTTGGAGTCCTTACAGTTGCAATAGCGAGACCAAAACACTCACAGAGGTGCAATTGCGAGCTCAGAAGGGGCATGAATGCAGTCTTTTGCGTCAACCATCTGCCCTGTCTCATAAAATGTAATGAGGACATTACAGCAGGATCGCTTTCTCTGATCTCAACAGTACAATTTTCAGTTTTCTCTCCAAATTTATGTGCATTTACGTGTCTGTCCAGTAAGTTTACAGCTTCCTTTTACTTGCAATTAACATGCTATTTCCTGAACTGCATTGTTATGAATTGCTTTTACCATAACAGTTTGCAGACATTTTCCCATTAACTCCTGTATACAGTAGTTAATTACAGCTCTTTTACTGGTCTCTGCTTCTCCATTCAGTAAAACATTAGTGTGCTGCTCAATTGAGCAATTCAGAGAAAACAGCATTCTTTTTCTTTTTTTGGTCTCTCTAAAAGGAGGCAAATAATGTGGCTGCAGTGCATTTTCTTGGTGCTGTGGCTAAACATTGGCTAAAATACTGGTATTTTGTGAAGACATGACTTATGTGAGGTCAGAAATGGACAATTATTACAAATATTAATGCCCCTTAGCTGGCAGAAGAACAGCTGGATTCCAGTTGTTGGGCTTCATGAAATTGCATTTCAGCAGCTTCTTCTCAGGCTTTTTTCCTGTGGTTATCTCCAAACATCTTATTTCAAGATTAAGTGTACTGATTTTAAGGAACGATGTGGCAGAGGCACCAAATCCAGGGTTAATAAAAACTATATTTAAGTAATGAAAAAAAAGAAGAAAATAAGCAATTTCTCCTGATTATAAATAAGGAGATGGACAGTTTGCGTTTGCATTCTTTGCATAATAATACCATGTTGTCAAAGAGGGAGGAAGGAAGGAAGGAGGGAGGGAGGAAGGAGAGGGGAGGAAACTGTGCTGAAAGAAGAGCAATCCAGACAGTGAGAAGTGAAATGTTCTGGATTTAGGAAACTAACGGCAGACTGGAGGAGGGACTTCACTGTGAGAGATGTAGCAATTTTCTTTGGGGAAAAAAAAAAAACTGTTGCTGGATCGATATTGCCAAAGCTATTTTTCGGGGGCGGTATCTCTGACTCAAAAAAAAAACCCTCTGTGTCTATTTTTTTCTCAAATCATGCCACGTTTGAGATTACGCGTGTGATGGGCTGAGCGATCATCATCCTCCTCCTGTTTACGCACAGCTGCCGCTCGGAGCAGACGGACCGAAAAGTTGCCGAAGTTGTCTATCCTTGTTTGCCATTCATTTTTTATTTTTATTTCCAAATGTCTGTGGCCTCCTCGACTTCATCTGCCCGCCCCAGCATGCTGGACTGACGTCTGAGGAATGGCATCGGCTGTGTTTGAAGGCACGTCGCTGGTCAACATGTTTGTCCGGGACTGCTGGGTCAACGGGATCCGGAGGCTCATCATCAGCCAGCGGGGAGAGGAAGAGGAGTTTTTCGAGATAAGGACAGAGTGGTCTGACAGGAACATTTTATACTTGCATCGGAGTTATTCCGATATGGGGCGGCTGTTTAAAAGACTGGTAGAGTCCTTCCCTGAGGACAGAAGAGACCTCTCCAAGTGTCCACTGATAGAAGGTGGGTATGAAGGGGAAGTGATTGCACGTGACAGCTGTGGCAGGACATGATGACTTAGCTTTTAATAGTAAAACAAGAGTATCACAAATAACACAACTATTAATATACATTTTTAGGGTTACATTCTGGTCAGGGGCGTAGCCGCAAATTATGGGGCCATATGCGCAGGAGGTGGCCCCCCTCAACTTTCTCTTCCTCTGCACTACTATGTTTTCTAGGGTTGCAAGTGATGATAGAGAGAAGAAACTCTTTGGCATTTTGCATTATAAATTAATAAAATATCTAAATTATTGCAGACTAAGTTTCTGTCGATCAAATGACTTCCATCAACGTATATTTAACGTCACATTACAAATGGTTGATGGAAACTTGCAAAATATGAAGAATACTTCCTCATCAGGAGATGGAAACACTTTTTCAGAATAAGTTCTTTGGTAACAAACATATAACTCATGACTAATCAGCTGTTCTGGGTCTGACAGTCTCCTCATTGCTCACGGCTCTTTAATACATGTGCATCCATAATTGCTACACACAGATCTGATGTTTCTGACATAAAACAAACAGAAATATCACATTTCCATTGTGTTTTTCTGCATTCTTTTTCATGGTTTGAGGTTCTACTGGCTCTCTTTTGATTCTGTCATCTTGTTGCGATTGTTTTCCGACTGGAGAATTGGCTTATTGAACTTAATTTATCCACATTTTCTTTTGTCGGATTGCTCTGACTGATCACTGTTTTGGACTTGTTGGAAAGTTTAGGTTTTGCATCTTTGGCTCTACCATATCAGGAAAATGTTCTCGATAGTGGATGGGGAGGAAAACTTTGCTTGTGTCTGCACAAGAAAACCCCTGAGAAATGAGTCTTGTTAGCCTCGGATAGCACAACAACTGTTGTTTTGTGGTTTCGGGAACGTTTTTCTTTGCATTTATGTGGATTACAGTCAGATCCTGTTATCTAACCAGCTGCATAAAACATTTTCAAATGCACAAGTGAGACCCATAAAGGCATTTCTTTCCACATACCTCAGGTCCTTTAGGTAGTTACTGGCATAACTCCACTTTGGGCAGCCAAATAAAAGAAGGGAAACATAGTCAACATAATCACTGAAGGTTAGGGTTAATCTGAACAGAGCATAGACTTGCATGCCTTTGTTTGGACAGGTTAATATTTAACAGTCCACTTTTGGATGTCACATAGCCTGCAGACCACAACACCAACATGCTGACAACATGTTTCTAATCCTTGTCAATATTTGGGAACTAAAAGGCTGTATGGTCTGTAAGGTCTGCTTTCAGCTCCCTGTGGCTTGAAACTTAAATTCCCCATGGGAAAACACCAAAAAGACCAACATTGACTTGAGGAAATTTGCTCTCTTCATCTGACGCATCATAATTCTTTAAGAGAAGTGCATGTTACTGGGCCATTTGAGCAGTAATTGTGTGGTGCTCAGAACCAACCTCAGTTGTGAGGCCTAATATCTAATTCAGTATTTGCAGAGCCCCAGCATTTGGCTAAAATGTTGACATTTAACACTGTATCAGAGTTATCAGTAACATCATCTAAATCTAAAATTTGATTTTCTTAAAAAAGTTCTAGGTTAAGATGCCTGATTCCTTGACCTGCCTACATGGCTCTACTTTGAGCATATGAAATATGACATTGAAAGGTTGAAAGGTTATAATTAATCAAAAGGTCTTCTGCCAGTGCCATCTGGTAAAACTCTATAGCAAAGGTTTTGGCAGGGCTTTGTAGAGGGCAGTCTTTTGCCATCTAGCTCAAACCTTTGGCCCTCAGAGTCTGGATCTTTGACACCGTGGTGTTGTGGCACTGCCAACAGATTTTGGCAGAGCTCCCAGCTGGTTCTGTGTGTATGATCCCCCCACACAGCCTCCTTGGCACTTCCCTTTTGTCTTTACTCACTGAGCCTATATGAATGTTTTGGAAACATCCCTTTAGTGGTGACTGGAAAGCTTTGCTTCCTGTCCATGCACTGAAATAGCTGACGAGGTTGTTGACAGCTCGCTGCTTGGTCGCTGCCAGTGCAATGTGCAGTGCATTTTGGGAAGAGACATTTCGGATCTCATGACTCACTTTTCACTTCTTTTTTTACTGTCTGTCACCCTTAATAGTCTGTTTACAGCTAAAAGTCAAATGCAGCTGTGATATCAGCACTGAAGGGGACATCCGTGTTACTTTCTGGTTTGACAATTTCATTGATGGATAGTAAGCCACAGGGCTAATAACATTCCCCTAATGGCCTTTCCCTTAATTCCTACCTTTGTTCAATATTTCATTTGCATCCCTTCTAATTGCCACTCAGATTAAAAGTCCCTGTGACAAAGTGGAGCTCTGGCCTTTCTCAGTCCACTTTGCTCCAGTTCTGCTCATGTTTTCCTGTTTCTGTGCTGCGCCTAGGCAACAAGGAAGGCGTGCAGAGCTTTCAGACTGATGTCATGATGAGAGAGAGAGAGGGTGACTGGGAGAGGAGTGGGCAGACCATATTTAGTCCCTCTGGTCTGCGAAGGCCCTGTAACACTTACCTTACATGTGACCCCAGGGTGAACACATACAGGAAGTGATTACTCACGCTCCATGTGAGATTCCACAGAGGCACATCGACACAGGCTGTGTCCGAATCCCCCCTTTATTACACCTTAAGAAATACACAAGAATACTTTATGAATAATCATTTCAGTTGGTTCATCATAGCACTGTTTGACATATCTATAAAAGGAGTTTTGTTGGATCATGTTTTTTTGTACTGTACACGTTATGTATTGCCAGTATTAAAGGAATAGTTTGACATTTTGGGGAAATATGCTTATGGACTTTCTTGCTGGAAGCTGAGAAAATCTATACCACTCTCGTATCTGTCTGTTAAATATGAAGCTACAACCAGCAGCCGGTTAGCTTAGCTTAGCATTGAGACAGGAGGAAAACAGCTAGCCCGGCTCTGTCTAAAAGTAACAAAATACATTTACCAGCAGCTTTAAAGCTTTTTAATTAGATTAGTCATTCCATTTTTTGGAATGTGGTCATGGTATTGATTTTACTGTTACAAAATGGAAACTTACATAAAATGCCATTAAGTGAATATAGTAGGTAGCAAATTGATTCTGGGCACACAGCAACAGACAGTATATGTACTCGTACACACCGGGTACAAGAAATGCATGTAACATAGCCTGACCTTCTCATGGACATGGATGCATACTAAGGTTTGATGTCCGCTTCTTGTTGACTGAGGCGTCCAGAAATAACATGATTACGAAACTGCAGAGAGTTAGAGGTTAGATGTTGACAGATGGTATGGCTGCTGACATGTGCTTATCAGATCCCTGCAGAAGATAGCTGTGAAATAGCTTGTGATTACAACATCTGATGACTGTTTAGATAATGTGTTTGAAGATGACTTGAACACGGCCGACTCCCTACTGCTACTGTGTTATTGCAGCTAATGGATGAAGTGGCTTGTCAACATGACATGCTGTCACAAAACTAACAGACGGGTAACTTTAGTGTGCAATTATGAAAATTATGAGATTAGCACATGCTAAAATTCCATATGGCATCTATGTAAATACTATTATTGTTACATTTTTACCAACTTGTTGCTCTAAGCAGATAAATGAGCTGATCTTCCAAAAGAAAATACTTAAGAATAAAGGCGATTAAAAAACAACCTAAAGCACTTCCTGATGAAATGAAGCCAAATGAAGTGCTTGTAGAAAACACTTAGACTTATTAGGGGCTGAATGGATAATCTCAGAAAGAAGACAGCAAACTTTGAATAAGCGCCACTGGAGCCAGGACCTCAATGCAGGAAATAGACTCTTTCACGGGAAACTGAAAGAAATACACTCAGGGACCCTGGTAGGAAAAAACATTTTGTGTCTTTGAAGACATTTTACAGGGGACAACCCTGTAATTGTAACAAACATAGCAAATCTGAGATGAAATATACACAGATGAATATTTTTCGTAGGTTTTGGAGATTAAACTGATGATTTAGCATGTGCCACAGTGGGAGGAGAGGTGAAGTAACAGGGCTGTCACTGGCAATCCAGTGGTGCACTGCAATTTTGTCGTCAAGATTGATTATTTTGTACCATCCGCCTGCTTGGGCCGAGTCAGCAGTGCACACTGGAGGCTTGTGCCTTTTCTGACACTTTATTTTGATGGAGGAGACCCACGTTAACCTCTTCAAAATCCCCCCAAACCCATTTTATTCACTGTTTTAACTTCATTGGGCATTCTTTGGCAGAAGGCAGAGTAGAGATCAATATCTGATTCTAACCAGCATCTGTCATCCACAACATCTTGCTTATGTGAAAATTCAGCTGATTAAAATTGATATCCTTCTAATAGCAGCAGGTATGTGTTGGACCTGCTGTTTCTAATTGGAATTGCACATCATCAAATTGTGATCACACACAGAAGATTCACTGTGGTTACCACGATTAAGTCTTACGCAACCTTCAATTTCCTGTGAAAGAATATACTGTGAATAAGCACCATACTTCTCTTTTTCACATCAAACAGACGTTTATTCTACACAGCCTGCTAGTTTATGCAGTTAAAATCATGCATACGTACACAAAACATGATGTCCACTGAACTTTCAGTATGTCCAGAATGAATGAGTTTTTTTAATGTGAATTAAAAAGACACATTATCTGCTTATGGACGCTTTCCTCCGGACTTTCCTCATGACCAAACTGTCTGAATGTTATAGTGGAGAAAATAGCCTTTTAAGGTGATTAGAGAGCTTGTGATGATTGTCACCTAACACACCCTCTGATAATACATTCTTCCTCATCCCACTTTGTTTCCACATGCACGCTGGGTTGCGCTGTGTGCCTGCACCTAATAAATAAGTAATGTGCAATTGTTTGTGCTTCATTCCTTACGTTAGCAGCCTCCATGGCATAAACTTTTTTTTTTTTAACTAATCTATTTACAAGGATAACAACTAACATGACTGGGTGTGGTTTATAGTCTCTGCGGTAAAGTTATCATCCAGGCTTTGTTTCCGTTTAAGATGCTGTTAACTGACACTGACTTGAAGCTTGTCAAGGCTCTATCTCTGAATCAAACATGAGAATCAACCATTTCACAAAATGTCATGCACTGTAATAACATATATCAAACAAATGGATTCCAATATACTAAACAATTTTTGTAGATATATAGTTTTTTGTTATATAGCATACAAGGGAAGGTCTGAATTTCATTATACAACCCTGTGTTGTAAAATTATTTAAATGACCTTGTATCCTTGTGTGTTGTACAGTTGCCTCCATTTAGCAACACTTACGCACCACCATTGAAAAGGTAACGTCAAGGTGGACCACATTGCTTACTGCTTATTAAAAACCTGACTCACAGCTGTTATGTTTTGCGGTTACAAATATAACATAATCCTTAAACATGGATGATTTGGCACTGACAAAATGGTCTTGAAGGGACTTTGTAAGTTAAATAAAAGAACATGATCCAGAGGCAGTGTGAGGTTCAGACTGGGCGAGAGTCTCACTTGGTTCTTAGTGATGATTTAACAGCCCAGTCACTCTTCACCTCCCTGTGGGTATGATGTCATCACTGCTGGCCATTATAAATGGATGAGGCTGACTGTGCATAGTGTTGCTTAGAGCTCTCTTACTCAGTACTTCCATGTAACGGCAACCGCTGTGTGACTGGGTTTGGGCTGTACCACTTACATCAGACAGAGCCTCGTCAGTGTGGCTGCAGTCTTCATCATTATTCTCCCCACCACATCCCTTTGTCAGCGTGGCAGTAAATGATGCTTTGCTGACTGCTCGCTCACATGGGCGGCAGTCTTGTCTTCTTGAAAGTGCTGATTGCACACTCCCACTGGCTCTTAAATTGCATTCCTAGTTTTCTGCAGGATTAACATGTAATCACAGACATTGTGCCACTGTTATTACTTTCCTCCGTTATTACTGCTCTTGTACAAATGTTTGCAGTCACACTGACACTTTATTCTGTGCTCTGCTGTGTTCTTGTTCTAAACACAATGATAAGTAGTCTGTTTTTTTCTTCTCCTACTTGAGGTAAATATCAGCGAGCATTGTTTATAAAAAGGTTACCTTATTATAACAGACTACCTTTTCGCTTGGATTGGTGGGAACCTTTCTCCAGACGTGGGATAAATTCAGACCTGTCTGGCTTTTTGTGTCCTGACCCTGTGGACAGATAACAGTCTGATGGCAGTAAAGGTCATAGCAGCTGCCCTTTTTTTATCGCACCGGCACAGAAATTGTTATACTAAACATTTTTATTGCGGTCTAGTTTTTTGGACTCCTTGTTCAGTTTTGATTGTTTATATATTTAAAAATATTTTTCTTATTGTCTAGGCTGTAGTTGTTGTATTGCAGGTGGACTTAGGCTTCCTGAGGGACAGAGGCAAAAATATATATAAAAAGGGCACCAGCTACGTGTGGTGGGGCTCCAGCACACAGATAGTTGTGATGTATTTATGGTAAAACAGTCCCAAAACCCTTTTCTATGATGTTTTTTGGATGCATTGGGCCACCATAGAGGGCACTTTATCATGTTTTGTCCACCAGTGTTATTTTGTATTAGATAATGCAATAGGTTTGCAGGTTGAAAACAACAACACAAAACAACATTAAAAAAAGTATTGTAACGTGAAAAAACATCCACTTCTCTGACATGGTAACAACAAATTGTAAAGGTTATACACAAAAACAACCCAAAGATAGGATTAATGACAAAATCGGTGTATTGAGTTACAATAGATTGCACAATTTATAATAAACCGTGTGTATTTTGTGAAATATTTTTGATATCAATATTTGTTTTGTTTCAGGGCTTGTAAAAATCAAAGAGGCAAACGACATAGAGGAGAAATTGAACGAGGTGGAAAGACTACTGAAGAATGCGATCAATATGCCATGCAAGGTCGGTCCTTTTACTTTATTAGCATGTTCACTCTGCATTCAGATATTTTTATTATACCTCTTGCTTGGGGGTAAAAGGTAGATGTGTGGAAACTTACAGCTATGTGGGCTAAATGACTAACAACCTGACTCCACAGTATTCCAGGTCAGAGGTGATGTTGACTTTCTTCGAGCGATCACCGCTGGACCAGGTGCTGAGGAATGACAAAGTCCACCGAATCCAGCCGTGCTTTCAGAGTCCAATCAAGATATCAGGTACATATCTAGTATTCTTTGGTAACACAAAGATGGCGCCACTGTTGACACCCCTAATGTCAAATATCGCACTCTGTACCTTTTTAGAAATCATGCGGTCCAATGGATTCTGTCTGGCTAATACGGAAACCATCGTATTTGATCACAGTCTCCCCGAAGAAAAAGAGAGACCCTCATCTACCGACTCTGTGGAACATACGTGAGTATTTAGTGGTTTTTTTGCCATGAGCCAGCAGGTTGGTTGCAGTGAAATACAAATTACCTGCTTGTTTTCCACAAATATTTCAGTATTTGCTCTTGAGAGTACAGTAAGTGTGTTGAAGTCCTTGAATGTGACCCAACCCCAGGACCCCTCCACCCCCACAGGAAGTGTGTCTGTGCACCTCTTCCTTCCCTGGGTGTGCATAGGAAGTACAAGAGGAACACATTCCTCTTGGTACTTCACACAAAACAAGACTTTACATAACTCTTAAAGAGCTGAATTACCATTTACCACTGCAGTGCTCTGACCTTGTACTAGCAAATAAAGTCTATGGGTTGAATCTGACAATTAACGCAGGGCATCACACTTTTGATTCCTTCGTTACACTACACAGATTCATCCTGCCTTTGGAGTAATGTGTCTCTCATTTTATTGCCAGATATGAGGACGGAACAGAGTTTTTGCCGATGGAAGCAGATGTGTGTGACGAGGAAACAGAAGCGTATGTCACCAACCTTTCCTACTACCATCTGGTCCCATTTGAAACTGACATCCTGGAATGAGGAACTGATGCCCGCTGATGGACATATGACACTATCATTGAGAAAAATGTACTCTTAAATGGAACCTAGCTATGCAACGTTGCACATAGCTGCTCCAAGTAAATGCTGCTTATTCTAGAAACCTCCACTTTGTTTTTGCCACTTTAAGCAACGTCACCGGTGTGCCTCATTCATAGCCTTACTTCAGCGGAAAAAAAGGAAAGTCAGGAAAATAAATGACTGGCTTTCAGGATGTGTAACACAAACTGGAGGTCCTCAATCCTTCGGGTGATGGAGAGGTTGCGGCTTGACCTCTTCAAAAGAATTGAAATAGCATCAAACACATCAGTATCTATGGTTTGGACTGTGAATGTAAGCAGATGGTAGAGGGCTGCACATCAACCTACATTTGGAAACAAATTTACAGTATTGGACCGTTCACTGTTACTCCAGAATCACATCTCCGTTGTTTTATCTTTCGCATTCATTCTCCAGTGGACCTCCATGATCGGGCCTGGTTGGCTAGGAGATGATGCATCTGCAAAGCCTGTTGTTTTCTCATTTAAACTGCTGCCTGAAGTGTTACTCACAGTGTTACTAATCTAGTGTTTTATTCCTGCGGGAACACAGGAAGCTGTCATGAAGCTCGGTGTATGATGTTTGTTCATAGTGCAATTTCCACCAGCATTTAGGAACCTTTTTGTTTGTAAAATACCAGCTTGAAAGGAAGGATAATTCCTGTTTTGTTGCTGTCATATGCAGTTGGTGCTTTGGTATGAGAGTACTCCAGGCTACATTCACACTGCAGGCACGAGTGGCCCAAATGTGTCTAAGATCTGTTTTTTTCATGACAGTGGAAACAGCACAAATCACACGGAATGTGATCTTTTCATTTCTGATTAGAGCCACTTGGTCCAAATCTGCTTGCAGTGGGCTTGCAGTATGAATGTAGCCTAAGATCCAAGTGAGACTGCGTTTGATAACAGACACACAAGTTTTTCCAACACTTAAGATAAAAGAATAGAAATCATAGGGCTAATGTGTTAGCATAAGCATTAGATATATTTTTTATTGGTATATACAGTTTCACTTGGTTCTTGGACTACTGTCACATTAAAGAATATGAAATAAATATGTGTCATTATCATCTTTCCAAAGCGAAAACTTAATGCTGCCTTCATCGATGTTGGTGAGAGGTTTTTTTTTGTCTAATAATAATGTAATATGTGTTAGTAATGTAGCTTGTAATGTTGCTTATTTTATGTTCATAAACAAATAATTTGATTTATTAGAGAACAGAGAACTGAGTCTTGCCATTATGTGGATCACTGAATCATCTCACCGCTCTTGTTGCCATATCATAAGTGATAAAACGGGGCAAACAAAGCTTTTGTTTTATGGGTCAACTGAGGTCATATCTGACCCGTTCTGTAAGATGACGTGTGTGGGTTCAGTCAGACAGCTGACTGCAGTCTTACTGAATGTAGGAGTCTGCGGCTCGGCACCGCAACGGGGGGAAACAAGAACTCTATTTATCTAAAGAAGACAAACGACCTTGCTGTACTAAAACTTTCTAAAGGAAAGTTGTATGAAATAGGCACACACTTGATTAAAATTCATGCCTTTTGTATGTTTTATGGGTCCTCCCACCATTAAGAGGTCGCTTTCACTTCTCGCTTTTTAAACTGTGGAATTCAGTGAAGCCTTACATATGTTTTGAATGCAAGAAAGGCAAAACAATGTATATTTGTGTAGGGTAACTGTAAGGAAGCCTATCTTTATTCGTTGTTTTGACAGTTTTGTTAATGCAGAAGTCATTGTTGCCTTACAATGTGGGCTAATAGCTTGTGTGCAGTTTCTCTGCCCCTTCCAAGAACAAAGGCATTCAACCCTCACAAACTTGGCACACGAGGCTTCTACAGGACGGTCCCCCACATGAGTCTGTTTAGTAACACAGTCATGACCACCATTCATCCCATGAGAAAGTGCAGTTCTTTCTCAGGGTGCAAAACTATTTCTTGTTCTCTTTTCTTCAAGAATGACGTCTTGAATTGATGGATATTCTTTGGATAGGAAAGTTTATTGGAAAAAGTATTTTAGAAAACAGCATACATATAAAGATTAATAAGATTCAATAAAAAAAACATGGCAAGTTTCTCTCTTTCAAAGAATTGAGTTCAAGATCAAATATCTATTAAGACCTGCGTCTGCTTTAAGACCATTTGCAGGCTCTGGGAATGCATTATAAATATGACTTAAATGGTACTCAGCGGTGACAGGATTGAGTAACCCAATGCTTTTACTCCAGTTTCAGTGACATTTTAAAAACATATCACTATCTCATTATGCCAGCATGGGGTGTGAGGATTCAGAGGAGGACAATGTGACAGATAATATGACACAAAAGCTTTTATTTATTTTGTAAACTTTATACACACTCTGTGAAGCTAATCTTGTAATTTCATTTTTTGTAATTGTGATATCTTTTTATGTGTAAATGTGTCAAAAGTATTGAATGAAGATTACTTTTAACCTTTGAAGTGTATGTGGTAACATGACGGATAACTTTAAAGCTATTCAGACAGTATTCGATACAAATTATTATTCTCAAAGCTTCTCAAAACAAATATGTTTCCAATAAAGGATTGTGATGTCAAGTGATGTTTTTTTTGTGGAACTCATGATGGAAATACATTTAGTGGTTACACAGCATCGTTAGATAGAGAAAGGTTTACAAGGAACACATTTAACTGAAAGCTATCGTTACTAGTTACTTTACATATCAATCTTTTACATACAAAACATATTTAAAAAGTATAATGCATAAACAGTTTATAAATTGCTCCTTGATGACAACTGCATTAAATTGCTGCTTGTGTGCATCAGTAATGGTAATCAAATATTTATATAAATATTGATTATAATGATAGGACACTGGCGGTGGCTCAGGGGCCTAAACCCAGGGGCCTCAAAAGCTATGGCTTTACTGCATGTCAAAATGTAAAAAATTGATTCATTGCAGATTTGTTTGGGGCTGTTTCAGTTTATATTCTGCTCACATGCTACATATTTTCTAAATCTGGGGGCAGGAAGTCTATTTTAAGTCCACAAGTATTTGTTGCTGCCATGTGTAGTCTGTTGTGTGCACTGAGCGTGGAGGCCGCAGGACACATTCACTATGCACAGAGGGTGGTAGGTGTGGGGGGGCAGTTGGTAGGGGCCCAACAGTAAAATTTTGCCCTGGGGAATCTCTCCCCAGTTAATCTGGCCATAAAAATGAGCAGTGGTAATTTATGCAACTTTATAGTTCTGCACCACTACATCTCAGAGGCAAATTCTGTACTTTTTACTCCACTACATTTGTCTGACAACTTTAGTTGCTTTTCAGATAAAAAAAATTCTCCCCCTGATCTACAGCAGTGAAATGCAACATACACATTTATTCAGCAGTGATCAAAAACATTAGAGTAACAAACAGACAGAGACCCTTTTACTGCATAATGAGTTAATAGTTTAAGTGAATGTTGCTTTAAATTCATACATATACTTAAGTAATGTTTTTGAAATGTACATTTAGAGGAGTATTTTCACAGTGTGATATGTGAATGCAGGGCTCTACTTGTAATGTATTATTACTATAATATTATAACTTTTTGATTTTTAATGTAGCGTTACTACCTACAGTAAGTAGAAGACACAGGCAGTGAGGATTTGGCCTGTTGCTCCTGTTAATAATCCTAGAGCACCACCTTGTGGTGAGTATCCGTATGACCAGCATCTATTTATCCTACAGTTAAATATAGATTATGTTTTGATAAATAAATATGATTGAACTTTACAAACTACATGATCTGCTACCATGTTCATCACATCTTCCACAGTATTTTGTGGTGGCCTATTTAGTTTTTTTTTAAATAAAAAAAGTAAAAAAAAAAAAAAAAGTAGTGATATTATTGGAAACTTCAAAATATGGTAAATTTTTATTAATTTTTTGTATCTATTAATAAATATTTTAGCACCAGTTATGAGTTTTTAAATGTAATAAAAATGTTTTTATATTAACATTAAGCAGCTGTTTGATGCCTGACGCCTTCAGGAGTCTGCGTGACCCCGCGCATGCGCACAGCATCCCGATTTAGCCGCTGTATTTCCTGCTTGCTGTTCCCACTCGAAGCGATGGCACAAGTGAAAGCTTCCCTGTTTTATGGAGGTACGTTCACTCTTTTATTTCCTAACACTTAACACTAGACCGTACGTGTTGTCGCAGCATTTGTTAAAACGACCCTTGAGGCTCCCCGTAGTTGTAACCGTGAAGCAAAATGATGCCCAGTTAGCTGGGACGACAGCTTTAGCAGGGGATGCTTCAGTCATGAGGTTTCAGGCTGGAGGGCTGGAGGACGGAGACGGTGCAGCTCATGTTCACGTCGGGATAACGTGCTTTCTTTCTGTGTTCGTGTTACAGTTGTAGCGGCTTTCCTGAGTTCGGCGGTGCTCGCATTTGTTGAAGACCTGGATGACACGTAAGGGACGCACTCCTCAGTGCTGTGCTTCAACATTTCACCTTCCTGCCTCTGTGACATTATACCGCTGCAGTGCAACTTCCAAGTTTGCAAAACACACTCGATGTGGATGCAATTCGACGTTTAATTCCGTGCTTACTTCTTCTTTGTCACTGTTGGAGAAAGTGGTACATGTAATTGTTGTAGTTTGGATGTGTAACTTGTGCATATGTAGTTTGATGCAGTTTTACCCTGTTTTTAAGGGTGTATCACATTTTTAAAGAGCTGCATGCTTAAGATAAGCAGGTATGAGTTATTTGAGGCAGTAAAAAGCAGTGATGCCTGCAGTGAGAAGTCTGTAGAGATTCTGTCTCTTGTGTATTTGTGTTTGTGAGATCCTCTAATTTGCCTCTTTCAGCTTTTTCTGCAACCTTCTGACACATAACCTTTCTCATACCCACAGACATTGAATAATAATCCTTCTTCTGTCTCGTATAAAGTATATGATTAACTAAAATGGCTAAAATGTCATTCATTCTTTTTTTGCGACAGATTCAAAGACACAAGAGTGAACGACGTCTGGCTGGTTGATGTGAGTCTGACATTACACACACACACACACACACACACACACACACACGCAACCAGTCTGGATCCATTCATCTATGCTTTACTTTATATCCAGCACGCCACTGTCTGGATCATCCCTTGCGGAAGTGGCAGCAGTCATGATGGGATGTAGATGGGTAGGAGGGTGGGGGCCGGAGGGAGTGTGCAGACTGTCCTCTGTGAATGAGAAGTCATGCATGCTGGGCAAAGCCAGGGGGCTCGAAGGGGTTTATATCAGAGTTTGTGTCTGGGTCCGGAAAAGCAATTCTAGCACTTTGAGCACCCAAAGCTGCGTTTCACTCCCAGTTTGGATTGCAGGACTGAGGCCTCGTGCTGGGAGGTTTCAGTACTATGTTCATTGGTGATGTTATTTTCTAATGCACAGGTTATTGTTGTTTTCTGAACTGAGCTCAAATAAGAAGATATGGAAGGTGTTCTTTGTACACCTTGGTTCGCAGAGTTAAATTTAAAAGCAAATTGGGCAAAATCCACACTGATCAATATGTTTATATCAACAATGGATCAAATGTAAATGTGTATAAAGTGTATTTTCCAGTCATTAAGTTTAATTATCAGCCAACTCTGCAGCTCTTTTCAGGAGATTTAGCTTATCGTTTTTGGCTTTACAGCACTTTAACCATATTAGTTTAGTTTCACCGCTCTCGTCAGCCCTGTTATCTGAAGGCCTTAGCAGCTGTTTGCAGCAAAAACACCAAAAGCAATACGACAAATCAAACAATAAACCCAGTGTTTCGCTATCGACCCAGTGCTAAACAGCCGAGGGACAAAGTTAGCGAGTGGCCGGTGAATGTAGTGGAGTGTTTAGCAGCTTAAGAGCCAGATCTTTTTCTCTGTAAAGACCAAACGGAGCTAAAAGAGAGTGCATATTGGTCTTATATTTGTCAGGTGGCCAGAGCTATGGACCCAATCAATAATAATGTAGCTCTATGACTGCTGGATGTGCAAATAGGAAATTGTTTGCCAACACGTAAGCTACAGCAGGTTTACAAGGTGTGTGTATAAGGTATATGACCACATGGCTGCGTGTCTATTAGCTTTTCATATTGTATCTGTGCCCCCAAAAACAATTAATTCAGCTTTGAGCAAAAACTGAGATTTGTGTGCCATTTTGACATGAACTAGTAGGCTAAACACAGGTGTTACCAGTGATACTAATTAAGGTTGGATTTAGTGTAGCAGAGCCTTTCCAGTAGGCCAATATGCACAAAAGCAGGAACAGAACCTTAATTACTATCATTTGTAACACCTGTGTTAGCAGCTGTGTGTTCAGATGAACCCAGCTACGACTGCGACAACATTTCATTGTCATTTTGGGCTTAAAAACCCATTTCAGAGATTACATCAGGAAGTCCTTTAGTGGCAACAACACAGCAAAGCTCTCAAAACACTTTTAAAGCAATAAGCAAGAAAATAATTTCAATCCATTTCAGTAGATGCACGCAATATTAAACAATACCACTGCCAAACATTTCATTTCATTGATTGTTGTGCTTTTAGAAGTCCCACTGTCCAATAAAGTGGAACTAAATTTGGTTAATGTAGTATTTTACCTGATGTAAAGTGAAGTGTAAGTAAAGATAAAAAAAAAATTAACCCTGGCCTAAACACAGAATTCATCACATATGTATAACTCTAAAAGACTATAGACTTTATATAAATGTTATATTTTGTATGATTTATACATTATATTGAAATGCTGATAGTATGTTGCACCTGATCTAAACATTGCTTTCTCCTGGTTTTTTCCAGTTCTACGCACCGTGGTGCGGCTACTGTAAAAAACTAGAGCCGGTATGGCATGATGTGGGAGCTGAGCTGAAGAGTTCTGGGTCGCCGGTCCGCGTGGGAAAGATGGATGCCACTGCTTACTCTGGTGAGCACACGATAAAGTACTTTAATGTCTTCCCTTGAAGCCTCTTTGTCCCTCAGGTGATTATTTCATGTGCTGGAGACAAAGATTCAACCTAATTGACTGTGTTGTTCAACAACATGATGGTGTCCTGTATGCAAAAGGCTCACAGGTGTTATTAAAAGCACCATAGATATAATAAGTCCATGTTATGGTTATTGTGACATTATCATGACTTCTCCAGTTATTGTTATGGCAATATTGTTGCCACAATAATCATACAGTGAAAAATGTGTGTTGTGCCAGTAAAATTACAATAATCTTCTATTACAATATGCATTATAATCCACTGGGCTTTTAAAAGAATAGTTTGACATTTCAGAAAATACGCTTATTAGATTCTAGCTGAGAGTTTGATAGGACTTTAACTGAGTTAGATTGATACCATTCTCATTAAACTACTACTCCTTTTTATTAAAAATAAAGCTACAGTTAACATCCAGTTAGCATAGCTTAGCATGGCTGCTAGCCTGGCTCTGTCCAAAGGTAACAAGCAAGAGGGTAACTAGCAGCGTGAGAGTGGTATCAATCTTCTGCAAGAGTATCAACAAGAAAGTCATTATGCCTAAATCCCAAAATGATAAACTGTTCTTTTAGACATAAATATATATAATATATATTTCCTGAGCTTACACTGTTTGAAATAAAGAATGCATTTGAACTCTGTAAGAAGCTGACAACAGGAGACGTAAAACCTCCAGATTTTACAATCATTATTTTTTGTTTGAGATACTGAATGTGTTTTTTATGTTGCAGGAATGGCGTCAGAGTTCGGTGTCCGTGGTTACCCCACAATAAAACTGTGAGTGATGCTCTAAGGTTTAATTTTCTTAAATTAAAGGTGGAGTCAGTCATTTTGGAGAAAGATAGTTGAGATTATTGAGTCTCATTCCCAGGTCATCGAATACTAACGCTTTGTGGTAAATGTCAAATAAAGTGGCTCACAGCGAGCCACGCAACACAACAGGTGGCGTTCGTGCTCCCACTGCTCCCTGGGAATGAGACTCGACAATCAACTATCTTTCTCCAGAATGACTGACCCCACCATTAAATTTAGGACTAAAATCTTCAACTTGGAAGCAACAGTTCACACAAACTTTTGTTTTGTGTGATTTTATATTTGAAAGAACCATGCACAATTTTAAGTTGCTTTCTTCTTTTGCAAATTGCTGTAATTTCCTAACCACTCAGTGCAGCTTTGAAAATGCCTTGAGAAATCCATATGAGATTAAAAGGTTTATTGAATTTTGTACGGACCTACAGGGTCTGGACACAGTATGATAATTTGTCAAATACTGCAAATTACGGCACACACACATTTCTGTGAAGCCTCTAATGTTAAGCAGAGAGGCATTGATTCAACTAAATAGTCTGAGGCTGTAATTTGTGATTTTGGTGTATTATATTATATCTACTGTAGCCATTACTTTGCCCCTGCTCCCTTCACCCTCCATCCCAAATGTCTTTACTTGCGTTTGTATTGTGTTATTACCAGGATATTTTTACCCTACTGTTGTCTTCTTTCCCTTGAGGTTTGGCCTGTTGAGATGCCCTTAGATGACTTATTCAGGAGGGAACAAGGTGTTGTTGCTGCTTCCTTAAGGCATAACTAAGTGACAAACTCTGTTCACACCTTTTGAGCTTAAATTTTATTAGGTTTGGCACTCCTGAAGGCTGTTAATTATACATTGCTTGGGTGATGAAGTGTGTTTTAAAATCAGCTTTAGCAATTTAAATTTAAACTTTTAAATTTTTTTTTACCTTTCTCAGGTATGTCCTAAATCATTTATCCTGTGATCTACTAATTAACTAAATAAGTTTGATACGATTTCCACTTGTGAACTACTTCCACTGATTTTTTTTTTCTCCCCCTCATTTATCTCATTACATTTTTTTCCCAGTGACATTTTTTATACAAAATTAATGAATTTAGGTAGACGCCAGCTGCTCGATGGCAGAGCTCATGTTGACTTTAGAGAAATGATCATCTTACATAGCAGAGTTTCCTCCATATATTTGAAACAGAATCATTTATCTGCATGCTGCCATAATGGGCTCCCCATTTAGTTTCATCAAGCTCATTTGGTAAACTGCCACAGGAGCACGGCAGGGTTCATAACATTAAACTAAGAAAGTGATGAAATATCCATCGAAGAACACGAGATACCTCCCCCCGAGACAGAAGAAGCCTTGATTTAGAGTTCTGTTTCCCCCTGAGTTCATTAAGCCCTGTGGGCTGACGCAACCTTCGCAATCCTTAATGCATTCTGCTTGTTGTAGGAACTCGAGTCCAGCCGTTTCCTTGGCTGGAACTCCGTTAGAGATAGTCATTTGTTTAGTTTTTTTATTGGAGGTGGGATGATTTAGATTATGTTGACCTTTTGTGGTGAAGAAGCTTTTCTTAGTGGATTTTCTGTTTCATTGGAACATCTTGTAAGAGACAGGTTGTGGTTTCCATACTCAGATGTCAGGCACAGACTTTAGCCCATTAAAACAGCAGTTTTCTTTTTCCACAATTAAATTCAGGCTACAACTAATGATTATTTTCATTTTTAATTAATTCGTTTTTGACTGTTTATTATTTGTTAATTCTATGAAATCCCCAGTTGACATGTGCAAATATCCAAAACCTTGGTCAAGAGGTACAGTTGTTGTTCAGACTAAACATCAGAATAGGGAAGAAATGTGATCTAAGTGACTTTGACTGTCGAGTGATAGTCTGTACCAGACAGGGTAGTTTGAGTATCTCAGAAAATCTCCTGGGATTTTCATGCATAGCAGTCTCTAGAGTTTACAGAGAAATGTTCGAAAAACATCCAGACAGTGGCAGTTTTGTGGGCGAAAATGCCTTGTTTATGAGGGGAGAATTGGTTCAAGATGACGGGAAGGCGACAGTAACTCAAATAACCACATGTTAAGACAATACAGTGAAGAAAAAGCATCTCTGAACACACACAACGAACCTTGAAGTGGACAGGCTACAGCAACCACACTGGGTTCCACTCCTGTCAGCTAAGAACAGCATGCTGCGGCTACAGTGGGGATAGGCTCACCAAAACTGGACAGCTGAAGATAGGAAAAATGCCTGCTCTGACAAATCTTGACTTGCTGTAACATGCAGATAGTAGAGTCAGAACTTGGATTAAACGAGATGAATCCTTGGTATCATCCTGGCTTGTGCAACAGTTTAAGCTTGTGGTAGTGGTGGTGTAATGGTATATGAGTATTTTCTTGGCACACATTAAGCCTTTGTACTAGTCAGGCATTGTTTAAATGACACACAGTGTTATTGCTGACAACATGAACCCCTTTATGGCCACTGTCTACCAGTTTTCTAGCGGACACTCCATGTCAGAAAGCCCATGCCGTTTCCACCAATATGACAGTGGTGTCCACAATCACAAATGAGATCTCAATCTCAGTGGAGCATTTTTGGGATGTGGTGGAAGAGGAGATTAGCAGCATGAATGTGCGGCAACTGCATGATGCTCTTATGTCTCTAAGGATTGTTTCCAGCACCTTGTTGAATCCACGCCACCAAGATTTAAGGCTTTTCTGGTTGTACCTACTCTGTAGAGCTCCGACAATTAGTCCATCAATTGATTAGTCGTCAGCTTTTAACTGTTTTGTGTCATTTTCACTCACTTTTTTTAGTCTATGACAGTGAATATCTTTCAAAAACAAGATATTTGAGGACCCTGGGCTTGGGAGAAACAATGATCCACATTTTACAAAAAAAATTTCTGACAGTTTATCAAACAATTAATCAAATAATATATAAAATAATCATTAGTTGCATCCCTAATACACAGTATTAGAAAATGTGCCTCAGAAAGTGGCCAATCAGTGTATCTAAACAGAGAAAAGCAGTTAATGTTCCCATTTCCATTTTTGCTTGATTAAACAACTAAAACAATTAATCAGTTGTCAAAATAGTTGCTGATTAATTTTCTGTCGAATGACTAATCAAACTGTTTCGCTGAGCTATGCCTCTGCTGTAATATTTTTCCCCTTTTGTGTACTGAATGAGGATTTTCATACAAACCAATATCCTGAATGCAAAGTTCAATGTCACGCAGTTGATTTCCATTTCATTTTATTTTCACATGAACGTTTCAATCAGTGTCTGCGCTGCACAAATCAACGAATGGTGCTCAAAGGTCTTACAATTAAAATATCCGCATTTGACTCTTGGTTTGTTTCCGTCTCTCCTTCTCAGGTTAAAGGGTGATCTTGCCTATAATTACAAGGGGCCAAGGACAAAAGATGATATCGTAGAGTTTGCCAACAGGGTGGCAGGGTAAGTCACAGCCTTCAATCACACCAAAAAGAAATGACATGAAACTGATAAATTTCACAGGAACACATGCCGTGTTAATAAGAACTGTCCAAGCAAGCAAGCTTATCAATGCAGGCCATATTTGTTTCATAGCTCAACGGATTTTCTCCTCTGATGCTCCAGTTTAAGCCACTGTATCAACTGAGCCTGGCATTTCTCCTCCTTGAGGGAAATCAAGCTAGATCCGTGACAGAGGGGTTGATCAAAAGCTTGGCTCTGACTTGAATCCACGGCTGCAAGTTGTTAAATCTCCACTAGGTGGTGCCACGAGCACAGAAATGAAGAGCAAGAAATGTTGGGAGCTTCTAACATCAGCTTATTACATTAGTGTGCCATTTTTGTGCTGCTGAATAGGATTTTACTCATCAAAATGAACTAATCTCTGTGGGTGTACTTCTCTCCAGACCGGCCGTCCGGGCACTTCCCAGCAAGCAGATGTTTGAGCACATGATGAAACGGCATGACGTGCTCTTTGTGTATGTCGGTGGGGAGTCTCCCCTTAAAGTAAGCACCGTTTACTGTATGTCACCCAGACATGAATCAGGATTACTGTTTTTTCTCTCAGCACCCAGCTTCTTCAGAACTACCACAAAGCTAAATCTGTGTATTGACTGAATGATAGAAACACTGCTCTGCTGCAGTTATAACATATTTTAACAAAGAGTAGGTTGCGTATAATTCCCTTCTAGTGCCTCAGCCTTTACAACTGTTTAACACTGGTTTATCAAAAGCTTCTGTATAAATGCTGAAAGACCTGTCTGTCGTTGCAGGAGAAGTACAACGACGTAGCCTCTGAGCTCATTGTCTACACTTACTTCTTCTCAGCGTCGGAGGAAGTATTTCCAGAGGTAACTCTTTGAATATGCAGCCTTTTGAATTTCAGAAAAAAGCTTAAATCATGGAGAGTTTCATATTTTTTATTGTTAGTAATGTGTAGTTATTGATACTCCAGTTGATGTTTCCATTGTTGCGAGTTTTCTAGATTGAAGTTAACAATTACATTCTTTTATAAGCATAATCCTCCCATAACTGCATATACAGATATAAGGCTTACATGCTGTTTTTGCAGTGTGCAAAAAAGTATAAGTTTGCTGCAAAGCCCGCTGCCAACAGTTTTGTCCCACATTTTTGCAGGTGCACATACATTCATAGAGTAAATGATTAATGGAACTTGGTTTTAAATTGACTATGTCCTTTGTTTTTAACAGTCAGTAACTTTGCCAGAGCTTCCTGCGGTTGTAGTCTTTAAGGATGGAGGCTACTTTACCTATGATGGTGAGTGTTGTGTTGCCATGTCTTCATCCAATGTTTTTTTTTTTTGTGACTGGTCTCTTCATTTAGTCTTAAAACAGCATAAGAAACTGTTAAAGGGGCCAATAGGACGCTCCTGGTCTTTTTCCTCTTTCTTTTCCTGCGATCCTTGTTTTCTCTAGCTGTGTTTCTCTAGTTTTTCCGTCCCTGCTGCTGTTCTTTCATCTTCCTCGCCACATTGAGTTATGGTGTGCCAGGCCCATCATAAAGCACCCAGGGCTCTGCCCACTATTGTGTGTGTGTGTGTGTGGTGTGGCCAGTGATGTTGTGGCGGTTTGTCTTTGGGCGGACATGTTTAGCAGGCCAGGGTGGATGGGTGTGAGAGACCACAGTTTAGGCCAAGGAAACCAGTGCAGAGCCAGTAGTGTACATACAGTAATTTAAAGCCAAGAATTGAATCAGCTGTCAAGTCTCTGCAAAAAAGATCATATTTGACAGAAGAGGTTTAGAGGCGCTGCTTTTTTTTTCTTCCCTTTCTTTTGTGCAATTTGAAACTTCTCACCGCAACAGCATGAGTTCACCGGATTCCTCCATGATGTCTTGTATTTTGCTGCTGCTGTGGGCCTCAGCTGGGAGGCGGAAGCGGAAGGGAAGAGCGTCGAGACACAATGCCAACACAAACGGGCCCCAGTAGTGGCTGTTCGGCAGGTTTGGTGCACGGTGTAGCGCCCGGAGAACAAAATCCATCTCCGCTGCAGCCTGCAAGTTCACATCCGTCTGCTCCACCTGACCATTGCGGAAGGGAGGCTTCCTGCACCAGAATCTGAGCAGGAGAGGCTCGCCACAGTAGACGTTGATGACAAAAACTCCACACTCTGCAGAGTCCTCCAGGACCTTGATACTGAGGATGTGGTGAATGTCTTGCATTGCCATGGTGACAGCGTATTAAGCTTGTCAAGGACTAAGAAGGTGAGCAGCATGGCAAAATGACATGGTTGTGTCCTTCCTCACATGGTGGATTGCTCCTTTCCCTTTCAAGCCTCTGAAAATTGTAGCATAAAAGAAAAACTATATCAGGTATTATTAGTGAAAATTGATTAAAAAGAGCCAGAGTTTAGCTCATTAAGCACTCATTTACGATGACCTACCTACCAACAACAGTGCATTTCCTCCCCTTTTGCCTTTGTTTACCACCTGTGGTCTTCAGCATCTGGTTTGCCTCTAGCTGTGCCGTGCTGTGTTTCTCAGAGGACTGGTCTTACTGAAAATCCACTGTCTGCATGTTGAGGTAATGGATACTGGATAAATAAGGCTGTGACACTCACTTTGCATGATGCTTCGTCAGAAACTTTTTATCAAATGTTATTTGGCTGAGACACATTTGCATCAGCACCCAGTGACACTGTTTTATGGCAGAATATGACGTTTATTCAAGGGTGTGGATATATAATGCACATATTCTATTTTTTATTAGCTGCATTGTTTTTATCTACCCGCTACAGAGGCCGGCAGTTCCAAGAATATACAAGCAACTTTTATCATCTCCCTTCTGGTATTGGTTTGTGTGTGTATTTTGTGTAGATGCAGATTCAGAAAATTCTTATTAGAAATTCAGTGTACATGCAGGCCGACTTTTTAAAGAATAGATGCTACTGAGCAAAGCCACACTGTCCCAGATCGGCCTTTCGCTTTGTGTAAAATGATATTTGACGTATTGTTGTTGAGCTTTGATTGGTTTAGTGTACATCACAAACAGCAGCATCCCCTTTGAAGAGCGCTGTTAAAAGTATAGTACAGCACAGAGGCTCATACATATTTAATAACTCAAATCCTCTGTTTCATACTGCTGTAAAGGTCTGCACTGTTATTGTGCTTCAGGAGCTAAATGGTTTTGATCATTGTGTGTGTGCAGTGAAACCTACTGGTCTAAATGTTAGTGCTGTATGAAGACAGAAAAATGTAATTGGCGTGTTTGTTAGTTTACACAGTATGCTGTTTGCAAATGCTTCACTCGCAAGGGATGTGCTTTCAAACATTTTTTCCAGTGTTAATACACATTAGCTAGTGGTCAGTCAGGGGTTTGTGGTTTTCCACTCCTTGGAAAGGTGTGTAACGCAGCCAGCTGTGAGGCAGCACTATTTTGCATATGCTTATTGGGAGTGCTTGAATGACAGGCTGATTAACCGTCCATGAATGTCATGACAGGATGAGATCACACTTCAAAATGTGATAACACACTAATGACATTTTGCGATGGCACACATGGATAGTATTCACTTCATTGCTTATTTGAACTGGCAAAGACGGCAAGGTCAGTGTGGATCACATGCTGATGAAAAGTGCAATAACTGGTCAGAAGTGGTCAGAGTTTCTCCACACACGTACTATCCCCACTGTGTCATAATTCACTTAGTTTTCATTTCCGAGTTATGCCAAACATTTGGTTGGAATAACTTGGTCGGTCTACCAACTTTGGTCTAGATGAAAATATCTCAGCAGCTATTGGATACATTGCCATGAAATTTGGTACAGACATCTGTGGTTTCCAGAGGATAAACTGCTGTAACTTTAATGATCCCCTGGCTTTTCATATTGCGCCATCATCAGGTCAAACTTTGAATTTGTCTAAATTCCTGCAAAACTCATGACATTCTCATCACTCTCAGCTACAGTTGTGTTAATTGCCAATTAGTAAATGTTGGCATGCCAACGTGCTAAGCTAAGGTGGCAAACATGATAAACATTATACCGTAATACATGATGTTAGCATATAGCTCAAAGCACTGCTGTGTCCAGGCACCGCCTGGCAGAGCCACTAGCATGCCATAAACCAAAGTATTTGACAAATTGAAATGTTGACCTGATGATGGAACTAGAGGAAAAGTCAGGAGATCAGCAGAGTTATTACAATTGATCCTGAGAGGAACATGAACGTGTGTACCCAATTTCATGGCAATCCATCCAATAGTTATATTTCAGTCTGGACCAAAGTGGCGGACAGATCGGCCGACGGAACGGCCGACAATGCCCCACACAACCCACAGTTGTGAAACAAAGTGCACACGTCGCTTGACCAAGATCCAATAATTCGTTTATTCCAAAAAATATCTTTCTTGTCACCTGTTTTCTTCTGTATCAAGTAGCTGATTCCATAACTTAGCGACACACATTTTCATAAGGTTCCCATCCCTCTCTGTAGGTCTTTTTTTTTGGTTTTGCTTTTTGGCAACTAGCCAAAGCATTTCCATTGTTAATATTTTAAGGTTTTCTTTATTCAGTATAGTAAGAAAGCGAGACATGTTGGTCTTTCGTTTCACTGAGCTCTCTTTCATTGTTAAATCAGTCTTTTCATCCTCTGCCACCGTCTGTGTCTCACCCTGTTTGAATTGTCTTTGATGTTACCTAGCTCCTCACCCTCTCTCTCTCCTATGTTTCCCCCTCTGCTTTTGGTTCTACACCATTTGCATTGTCTTGGAGGTCTTCTGTGCCATTAACCTTCATCCTTGAGATGTGTCAGAGCTGCCTCCTCCCTCAGCTCAAAACTCTGACACTGGATCATCCTCACTCCACCCACTGTCTGTTTCTATTCCCCCTCCTGCCCCTCATCTTTCTCTCTTGTCTCCCGCTGTGTGAACTCTGGGCTGACAGGCTCCTGTAGGGTGGTATGGAGATTGCGAGGTTGGCGCCCAGGAAGAGAGCAACTCTAATTTGTTTCAAGGTGATGCGGGTTCAGTCGGTGTAGAGGTTCATAAGGCTGTACGATCCCAGTATGGGGCCTTCAGTTCTCTCTCACTTCTGGGAGAAGCGAGTCGGGCAGCTGCATGCTGTCTATAAAGCCAAAACATCTGTGGAAAAAACTCTCTGGAATGTCTACCAGATTGACTGACTCAGCAGCCAGAACAGCGACGCTGCTGCTCTGCCTTTGCACAGCCCTGAGAAATGGAGTGCGTTGCATTAAGGTCAATTTGATTCTAATACTAGTATAAGCTACGACCTTGGGGTCTTAAAAGCGTGTTCAGGTTTTAGGTTGTCATGTTCGGAATTCTGCTCCCAGCTCCTTTGGGGGCCTGCAGCTTAAGAACCATGTAAAAGTCATCAGTGTCTTGTAATTATTATAATGGTAGCAGAAAGGTCATGATAACTTATTAACATGTCATAATGAGGTCCCTGCTACATTTGACATCAATTATGTGCATCCTGTAGCCTCTCTCAGCCGGAGAAAAACAGTGTTGTTCAAGCAGCCTCGCTACACCCTATTTATACCCTGGAGGAACAGACTCTGGTGCCAGTTTGCATGTTGCCTCCAGATGTTAGTGTAGCAACAACATGTGGTTCACATTCAGGAAGCAATCCTTTATTTTACTTCAGTTTGTTTTTTCATTTATTTTATGCACTTTATCTTTTTTTTTTTTTTTTTGCCTAATGCATCTGTTAAATTATGCATTCACTCCAAATGTGTAAAAAATCTGCCAAAACTGTGTCCTGAAAATGAATGTACGTATGTGTGGAGAATCATTTACAAACCAAATGTGCTTTTTGGAAGACAGAAAAGCATAATAGTTGTGAAAAATGAGGTCAGGTGAGCCAGCATCTCACAAAAAAAACAGAATCCATTGTGAATGAAAATTAGTTTTTTTTTAATATTCTAGACAGTCGGCTTTTTAATGATTTAGCAAAATAATCTTTAAAAACATCCGTATTAGTAACAATCCAGACTGAACAAAATGTTTTCTTTCTTGACAATCAACCTGACACCTTTTTGATTGTTTACCTCTCGATTGATTCCCAATCTGCTCACTGAGTCACAATCCATTTTTTGGTTTCAGGCCCAAAATAGCCTCTCTGACTGCCCAGAGGCAACCCTCTGTCAAAACAATTTCTGATCATTGTTTAACTGACCTCTGTCTATGAATGCTCAGCTTGTGTCCCTCTCTTTATTCCCCAGAGAGCGTACAGGTGGTAAACACTGTGATCTTCTTACAATCCAGACATCAATACGCTGCTCTGCTTTGCTTTTAATATAGACAGGTTGTGTGCTGAATGTCAATAGGCTTTTTTGTGCTTCTGCCTTTGAAAGATTCTGTTTCCCTGTGTTGCAGAGTACGAAGATTCTAGTTTATCATCATGGGTGAACAAGGAGCGCTTCCAAGGATACCTCCAAATTGATGGCTTCACACTATATGAGCTTGGAGAAACAGGTGGCGTGTTTGTCATCCATAATATGTCATTTTCATATGTTTTACAGCATTTTTATGTGTACGGCTTTTCAAAATGTTCATTCTTACATTTGAGAATCATGAACTAGGAAACAATTATAAAAATGGTTACAATTAATTTACTATTAGCTGTTTGACTAATAGACATAATTGGTTCGGCTCCATTTTATTTTCCAACATTTTAAATGTTTTGTTGATTGTGAGCACAAGTGTTTTTTTGTGTAATATTTTTATCTTGTGTGTCATTTTTATTCTTAATGATTTAACCAAATTATGGAACCAAAGTAAACATTTCTAATTACAGAATGAGTACCAGCATATATAATGTGAAATGCATGAGCACAATATGCACATAATTCTATTTCACACACAATTTTAGAACTGCTCTTGCCAAAAGCTCCTTGTAGAAATATCAGTGTTAATTGTATATTGTGGCTATGATTGATTTAGACCGTGCTACTCTACTTGCTCCAATGTACATACACTTTGTCTCCAACAGGGAACTTAAGCTCAAGAATGAAACCCAAACTGTCTCTTAAAGACAATAAATTGATGCTCTGTGCAGAGAAAGCCTTGCTTTCTAATATTAGACATGGTATTTTACCTCTATGTGCAGTTTACTGAGATCAGTGATGCTCAACGGTTGGATTTTGCTTACATTTGTTGCTGCGTACAGTCTGTCTTTAACCTATCTATACCACATTTACTCTTTAGTGTTGGTAGTCCTGAACACAAAGGGGTCTGTAAAGCATCTTAATTGGATAAACCCTGTGTGACTGATTAAAGACGGCATGTTCTGTGGCTTCAGACTGTTACAGTAACTTAGATCGAAGAGTTTAACTTGAAGTTAATTTGAGGAAACGGTATAAACAGCCTTGTCTCTAAATTCTCTCTTTCATGCACTTGGGCTCATTGTGAGGTGGTTGAGTGGCATTTTAATGCTCTAAAAGCCCCATCACACACAAAACTCGGTACCCTTGTCTAAATACAGCTTTAACCAAAATCCGCTATTTGACAGATTCACAGTACACCAGATTTGTTTTCTTTGCGGTGAACGGGAACATTGAAAGGCTGTTCTTCAAGGGAAGAGAGTGAATAGTATGTCTGATAACCACAACACAAACAACCCACACAAAGGAGAGACTATACTGCATACTTTTAACATCTTAAACCAAAGTGAACAAACACACAGTGAAAAAAAACTCTCAATCAGATCAAAAACAAGTGAGAAGTGCAGCTTTTTCCTTTTCATGATCCCCAACTGTCCATTGTCTTTACATAACCTCACCTTTGACACATAACCGCCATTAGTGACCACCAGGGGGCAGGCTGGTACTCTCATCCAAGCAACAAGGGGTTTCTAGCCTCAAACCATACAAGTCTGAATAACAGGCCTTTTAAGTTGTGTAACAGTTTTTTTTAAGTAGACCTATTTGTCATGTAGTGGGTTTGGGTTTTGAATGGCACCAAAATAGCTCCTCTACCAGAAAGTGACCACTTGTTTCCTGTTAAACCAAGTAGAAAGCCTAAGCTAGCTCAATGTTGAGTGATAAATGAATAAAACGCTCTCAGTGCCTCTCTCTTTCTTTTCCCCTGTTGAGAGGTGATTCGTCTCCAGAGCCTCTTATCAGCCCTGCTATTGTCTTCTCACCCTCTTTTTTTGTGTGTGTGATTGTGATTTGTAATCCCTGTCTGCCACCTCAGGCAAATTGGTGGCGATTGCAGTCATCGATGAGAAGGACCCCACAGAGGAGAGTGGCAGGTACAAAGAACACTGAAATTAAAAAGCAGGGCTCTATATAAATGACTCCCATACGCTACCACGATTACCACAATAGTTGTTTCTAAGTGCACAGCTTTCAAATAGAGATAAGACTCGCTGTTATTGTTTGGATCTTCCCACAAATTGCAGGCATCGGCTAAAAAAAGGTTAGACTCCGACTTATGTGGTATTTCACTCTCTTCTCATTTGCTTTTAGATTAAAGACCTTGATTCAGAGGGTGGCGAAGGAATACAGAGAACATTTTAACAGGTAAGGCACGGATACACGATGAGGTGAAAGATGAACATCCAATTTATACATTTATTCTAGGAAGGTGCACTCACTGGGGAACGCTGCCTGTCTCTTCACAAGCAAGTGTATGCCTTTGTCAGGGCACGTCTGTTTTGGTTGAGGTTCAGTAGAAAGGTAATTATGCAAAATGTCAGCTTCCAAATATAGGTGTTCTTTTCAGCTGTCAGTCAAAAACTATTGTATTAATGGTTAATGTTCTGTTTTCTCCAGCTCAAATTGTTCAATAACAACTGGAGATGGGATGTTTATGTTACGCACTACCTTGTTCGACCTGTACTTCGACTGGAGAGGACCCAATTAAAACAAGGGACTGAATCCAAAAAAGGGGGAAAGCAACTGTATACTTGTTGTTTTTGTTGTTGGTGCACAGCAAAGGTGTGGAAAACGGAGATGATGCAAGAGCACAGCTACCCATATGTTTAACACACACGTGCGAAACACACATGTGTATGTGTGTGACAGGATGATTTAGTGACTACAGTAGGTAGGTCACTCTTCAGCTGGAGTACCCAGGTTAAAACAAACTCTGCTGAAGTGGCTTGAATTCAGTTCATCAAGGTGTTTTGTAGCTGACCCTTATCTCTGATCACTCCCAGTAGGGTGGTTGGCAACAAGAGGATTTCCTCAAAACGAGTAATAGAAAAAAAAATAGAAAAATCTAAATTTTATCATTATGTCATGCTTAAGTTCTTTACTGTGCTCCATCATTGACCATGTTGCCTCATCACATAGATGCCTGCTTTTGAATGAAGAGGTGTATCTCAAACCGCCCTGATCAAAGTGTTTTTCTCTCACCAGGCATTCCCATTAGGACTGATTGAATTACACAGATCCCTATCATCAATTAGACTGCTATCCGCTACACTACCCAGCGCTGCTTTTTTTTTGAAGACTTTTGAGTTTGAGATTACCACTGAGATCAGAGCTGCCTACAGTTTTCTGACACACCTAAACGGGTACTTGTAATTACAAGTCGCAGGGCTTGAGTAACGCCCCCGGTGGTGGGCGGAGGCAGCGCACGGTGTCAAAAGGATCATAGGTGATGACTGACATGTGAATGAGCCGACTCCGTTCGATGCAGTAATAAATGTCGTGGTATTCACCCACCGTTTGTAGCATTTTGACAGAACAATGAATGCAAATCTCGAATCTGAGGGGGAGCTAGTCTGCTGGGAAAAAAGGCACATGCCTACATGCACGCAAAGTGCACTTGTGGGAAAGTCAGATTTTGTCAGTTAGTGGGTGTGTGTATTGGGTTGAAATTCTGCACCAGTCATTATTGTCTTGGCTTTTATGTGCCAGCTGCAGCACAGAAGGTTGGTGCAACAAGACTAGACAAGAAGCCTTCATGACAAGTCACAAATTCACAGACTGAAAGATGGTATTTACTTGTTGAAAGGCAGTACTTTTAACATTTAACACTTTCAGAACATCTTAAAGCTGCACTAATGAGTCATTTTATGGTTACAGTGGATTAAATATGTAATTTGATACAACAAATAAATTATCAATTGATTCTGCAGTTACTGGGCCCTTATATAGGTAAATAGTGGCTTATTCTGTTGTCAGGAGTACATGGAATATAAAAAAAGTATCGTCTGTATATACTTAAAGATTTGAAGTGTAGGAAATACAACAACAAGAAATGGCATATGCCAACAACTTTAACATTGCTTCCTTTTCAAAACAAAATATCTTTTGAAATAGTTGTATATACACTATAAACTGACATTATGTACTTTAACAGCACTACTGTACGCTTCCTCCCCAACACCAAACAGCAAACATAGCTAGCAACTAGCTGAACATGTTTCCTACCATGTTTGCCATGTCACCTTTATTGCTTGTTGTGCTGCACAAAGTGGCCTAAATAAATAACTGAATACAGATGTGAAAATGTTTTGATGCCATTATATTGACAATTATTATTGAAAATTGGAAACATTGGCACCCACAGTGGTACCATTTAAAGAAAATAAAAAAATAAATAAAAAAAGACACAAAGCAATGCAAGCCAATACTCTATTCCAGGACAAAAATGTATGCCATCTGAATAAGATGCTTTATTTACTGAGAAATATTACTGAGGGCTGCTTTAGGTATGAATACTTTAATATTGCATGTCCTAATCTGTGATTTAAATCCTGTCCAGAGTGCATATGTGGGTGATTTTTCTCCCCAAACCCTTGTATTTATCATACATACAAAAACAGAATCAATGGTTGTTCAATATTTTATTCCTTTCTGCAAAGACACATTGTATTTTAAAGCGTATCTCTTAGAGCTTAAAGCCTGATGGTGATGATGGTGACATATTGTAGAAAACCGTCTAAAATTTGGCAGTGGCTATAATGCCATTCACCCCCACACTGACTTTCCCTGGAATATAAATTCTGTTGAAATCTGGCTTCAGAACACACTCTTCTCTTCATGGGAACCATATGACGGGACCAACATCAACAAATATCTTACTTTCAGTTCTAAAAATTTAAGGGAGTTAAATGAATAACTACACATACACATACAGAGGGAATGTTTAAGTAAACAGCCATAATCCCCAACTCTCATGGAAAATCTGAAAGTATTTACCAGAAAAATGTGTTGCGCAGTCTTGCCTTCGGTTCACTCCATGCCTCCTCTCACACATGCAAGTTTCTCAGTTAGTTACTCGGCCCTCTTGGCCGCTCTGCGGGGCGGTTTGGCCAAGAAGTGTCAGTAGGAGTGGGAAGATGCGCGCACATGGGAAACAGACCTGTAAATATTTAGGTTATTGAGTAGACAAAATATTAACAATAAGGTTTAACAAAACGGGAATTTTGAATCACATTTTGTTTCCCCATCAAACGTGCACACGTACACACGCACACGCTATATCTGATCCATAACTCACAGGGCTGCAGCTATCAGTGCAGAAGTTACAAACTGACTTTTTGATGAGCTTTATTCCCAGTCTGGCTCACTATTGTCAGCAAGATTATCACTAACACAGACTGATTTTATATTGCATCCTCTGGATTTATTATATGGTTCAGTCTCTTCAGTATCATGTCGCTGATATAAGCTCAGGCAGTATTGTGTGTAGCACCCAGGGGACGAACGTGCTAGATGTAGCTATGATTCAGTATGAATATAATATATATGTAGAGGCCCCCGTAATCAGTCATTCAGTGGAAGTCACTGGTTTCCCTGGACACGTGCAACACCCCTCCCTTAGTCTACCCACAATACACTCTTGCTCAGACATAGTGGAGCACAATGAGATACAAATTGAATTCCTCCTCCTGCCTTATCGTTTAGAGAAATCACCTGAGTCTTTATTGTGGTGGGAAAGACGAGGAGAAACCTGAGAAGAGCTTTGGGGATATATTATTTTCCTGCAGTGACAAAAATGATGCCAGTTTTCCATAGCGAGAACATGCCATTCCATTCAACGTGGTTTCATATTTGTGTGTTGTCGTGCAGGAAAGTTGGCGTCCCAGTTTGCTGTAGTCCACTGAGACAAGAAAAAGGGCTCATTTTACTTTATAGTATGTTGTTTTTGATGCACTGTTTCACTTTCTCATGCTGCTGATTTGTCTTTCACCCCCAGGGACTTCCAGTTTGGCCACATGGATGGGAACGACTACATTAACAGCCTCATTATGGGGTGAGTGTCTCACACCTACCTCTTTCTTCCCATGTCATCCTCTTCTTTCTCTACCTCATATTACCTCCTGTCAGCTACTTAAGCAGGTTTGGACTGACTTGTAATGCCAGCCTCTGCCATTAAAGATGCTCTCTTGTGGAGAAGTCAATTATACAGACGGACTGTCATTTCTTTTTTTTCTCTCTCTCGCTCTTTTTTTTTTTTTTAATGCTCTGGGCAATTTTAACCCCCCTACTATTACACATGCTCGTGCAAATCTGCTTCTGCAAGTGCAGGATAGGAAGAGGAGCATATGAGGAATTTACGGATAAGGCTATGCATGGATTATATCTATTGCGGTCATGTGTTGTAATAGCTTGTCAAAGAGCAGTGCTAATGATGCAGAGAGCCCTGCTGCAGTAGCATTCGTGCCCAGGCTGAGGCCGACTGTTGGTGTGTCTCGCATCTGAGAGGCCCTGCAACTGACATCCCACACTTTTAATTAGACAGGACCCCAGTAGTGTTACAGGCCAGCAGGGCTGTAGCAGTCGGCAAGTCTGTTTTGTGTCTACTAACGTACAGTATCTAATTATGCGTCTTTGTATAATGCCGTGTGTGTGTTTGTATGAGAATCTGCGAGCGCAATAGACCGCAACAGGATGTTATTTTAATTTGAGCATGTCATTGTTTGTATGAGGGAGATTATAGCAGACATCGCCTTCTAAGTCGTGTGTAATTAAAAGTGTGTCAGTGAGTACAGTAGAAGTCGGTTTGGAAATATGACTACATTCAACCAACGGGCTCCCGGTGCATGGATAAAATTAGACAGGCGGTGTTTATATTTAAGGATAAAAGAGGTGATTAGCCTTCCTAATTTTGTATGAGTACATACAATATGTATTTCTCTGGATTTAACAGGACTGCATTTGGCCGCTGCAGCACAGGATTAATTGCCCTCCTTTGAGGAATGAAATCCTGGCCTGTCAATGTCCACTAATTCTCTCCCTTAGGAGAGCCATGGAAATAAATCTGATGGCTTTTTATCCCTCTTTCTGTCATCACAGCGATTACTGTGTTCTGGCAGCGGTCTGTCTGGCGTAAAGGCTGCCCCTGCTTTCACCAGAGGCACATGCACACACTCATGAATACACACATACAACATGAGCACCACTCTAAGCCCGAGGCTGTCTCTGCCTCTGTTTAAACGTTGGATTATCGCTAACCCCTTATACAGCATGCATCGTGGGCTGTGGAAAACTTAAAAGGGATGTGAGGAAACTGAAAAGTCTGTGTGAAGGGAAGACGTGTAACCATAACAGGTGACAAGACAGATCACACAAACCAGTGGTCATTTGATTTGTAGGCTAAATTACCTTTGTGGAACCTCAGACAAATGTATGTAGAAATGGTATTCAGTATAGCATGAACACTATTTCCATCTACAAAGACAAGTCTCAACTTACACACAAAAGTTTTAAACTGTATGTTTGCTTCAATGATTCTGTTTATTTTAGTGTTTTTTACCGACGAATACCATGTTTTTATTTTTTTGAAAGGAGCAGATCGGTTTGAATATCCAGGTTTTATGTCCCCATGTATCCAAGATGTATGGTTCCTGGACACTGTGATTATCATTATCACAGTTCACAGTTTTTTAATTAAGTCCTCTTGCGATAATTAAAGCTCAAAAAATGCCTCTAGTAACAGAGAGTGAAAAGAAAACTCTTGGG